ACATCTCGCAGGGCCTGGGTGCCGAGGTGCAGGGCACGCCGTTGCCGCCGGGACTCCGGCCGGGGTGCCCGGTTCCTCCCAGGCTTAGAGGGAGAGAAGCTGGCCTCCGAGGCCCTCCTTTCCAGTAGCGCAGGCCCCAAAGCTTCATGGGGTCCGAAGTGGCACATTTCCCTCCGGGGCGGGGCTGGGGAGAGCCCCACGGGGGCCGCCGCCGCGTGTCCCCGGGGAACTGGGGAGCGCGAGGGACCCCAGGCTGAAGTGGAGCCGGAGGAAGGGGACTGAGGAACGGGAGGCTTCCTACTCTGAATAGATGAGAACATTCAAGCGGATAAGAGGGAAAGTTTCCAAGAAAAAAAGTGACTTGAAAATGTGTCCTGCACGCGGGAGGGGCCCCATCAATACATGTTCTGGGTAGGACAAAGCCGTTTACAGAGGAAAGAAGAGCTGCTTGTCCTACCCAGAACATGTATTGATGGAGCCCCTCCCGTGTGCAGGACACATTTTTCAAGTCACTTTTTTCTTGGAGACTTTCCCTCTTATCCGCTTGAATGTTCCCACCTCCTGGGCAGGGAAGGCTCGAGGATGCGCTTTTTCTTTCTTTCTTTTTTTTTTTAAACCTGGGTAAGGCTGAACTCTGCACCGCCCCTGCCCGTGGGCTGTAGAGGTGTCTGGCTGGGCCGAGTGGCGCCTGACATTTACGCCAGGCTGTACCCTCAGCGGGAAAAGGCTCCTTCATACCTGTTGAATCCTGACTGCTTGCTGCACCCCGCCCTGGGGAACGCGTATTCTGACAGTCATAGGTTAGCCATTATGCCGGGATATAACATACTAAAAATCAAATGAGAAGCACTAGTGGTGAGGGCTTGAGACCACAAAGTCCACATACTTGCTGTGTTATCTCAGGACTCTGGTAGGCCGCTTAACCTCTCTGGGCCTCCGTTTCTCCGTGTGTAAGACGGATAACTTTTTACTTCCTCAAGGGTAAGAACTATCTGTTCAGCATGTGACATAGGACCTGGGTGTTTATTTGTTGAGTGGATAAGTGAATAAATATTCTGCGTGGAGATAGAATGTTCTTACAGTTTGCTAGGCACTTGGCTAGTCAATGCTTTTCGGAAGTCCTGCAGAGGTGGTTTTGAAGTCCGGCTTAGCTCAGTTGCCTGATCTGCATAATAATGTTATTTTCATCATTAGAATATCTGTAAGAATTCAGAAAAAAAAAAAAGTGTGTGCCCTCATAGATGTTCCGTAAATCTTCCTGGCCTCTTTGGGCTCCCGTGATGCATTGCTCTTACCTGGGCCTCAGGTTTCCTGTACCTGAGTTGTGGCCTCTGTCCAGAAGTCTGGCATTCAGGCAGTGTGTACTTTGGGGGAACCCCAGGATGTCTGGGCCGTGAGTACCACTTGATCAAGGAATCGTTAAGGTTCCAGTTCTTCTCCAGTAGGGGTTTGTCAGGAAGTTGGTTTGCAGAGGTAGCCAGCCCATGGGTGAGAGATGAGTCAGCTAATGTGGCTGCCCTGCCTCCCCTGTGAGGGCAAAATGAATCACAATCCAATGAAAAATGACTTTCCCAAGGTCACACACTGAGCCTCCTACCTCAGAACACACTGCCAGCCTTCCTCGGATGACATAAGGGGGTAAAGGAAAGTCAGAGCAAGAAGGGACCTTCCAGTACATGGCCCAGCTTTCCATTTGCCAGATGAGGAAACTGAGGCCAGAGAAGGAAAGAGACGTGACCAAGATAAGGCTTTCACACAATAGTTGCGATGTTCTGTAGTATGAAAAAAAAAAAAAAGATGCTTTCTTCTCCACACCCCTGTCCTCTGTGCCATCCTGCACTCACCCCAAATGAGTAGGAATTCCCAGACTCCGAGGACTTGCCAAGCTCTTTCTGGGCTCAGTAGGCGTCTCGAAGTTGGATTAGGCATAACTTGACAACTGAAACCCTTCTGTGAGTTGGAACAAAATGTGTCCTCACAAAACTATGACCTTGGGGAAGTGGCTTTCCTCAGACCTTTGGTTTCTTGCCTGTAAAATGGAGGTTCGCTCCCCTGTGGTGGATGTGGTGAGACAGGCCAGGAGCCCTAAATCAGAGCGGTGGCTATTTTAAGTGGAAACACCCTTTGTACGGCCTGTTTGGGTGTGCAGGCATTGTAAACATCTCCATGATGATCCTTGTCCCCGGCTGAGCCATTCAGGGACCCGACCCCACTTGCCCCAGAGCTGGGTCAGCCCCAAATCCCCCGTAATCAGCTTGTGACTTCAGGGAGCTCAGCTTTACCCAGTGCCTCCTGGTCACGGGGTGTCGAGGCCTAGAGCTCTGCTCTGGCTCCAAGGGTACAGGCATCCAGCTCCCCTCCCCCAGGCTGGCAGAGGTGGGGAGGCTTGGAACAAAGGGGAAAGTGTGTGCAGCGCTGGCTTGGGACCTGCAGCCCTTCCCCCCTGTCACTCCTGGGCAGAAAGGTGAAAAAGCCACTCAGTTTGGTAACCGGTGTCCCCAGGATCGTAGAGGCTGAGAAGGCACCTCATGGGCTCAGAGAGGCTGTGTCCAGGCCCACAGGCCCCGGCCTGGCCACCAAAACAAACCTCCATTGTTACCTCCCTCCGTGGGAGGGGTGGAATAGAGCTGGAGCCTCTGCCACCCAGCCACCAGGCCAGGGAAGCAGTAGCTAATGCATAAATGCTGGGGTTTGACAGTAACTGAGCAGGGCTCCATGGTCTTGAATGTGGGCAGAATGAAGGCAGTATTCATCCTCTCCAAGACCACCTTTCTGGCTTTTGCCTCCCAAGGGTCTTGGCACCCTGGAAGTGGCGGGGGAGAAAGCTTTTTCCAGATCCCAGTTTATGGAGCATTTGGCTAGGGAGGCCTCTGCTGGACAGGACATCTGTCCATATCACGTAGCCCGGAGCTGTCTCCCCCATCTTGACAGTTGGGAGTGGGGAGGAAAAGGCTCCCTCGGCAACAGCTCCACCATCCGACCTCAGGCCAGCCACAGAACTTACTTCTTCAACTGCAGTAGGAAAATAGTACATACCTCTCTGAGTCAGGTTGTGGATTTTTTTTTTTTTTTTAATGATAGAAGTATTGGAGGCATCTATGGAGAAATATACAAAGTAAAAGAGTAAATGTCTTCCCCCAGTTGTAATAGTTTGCTGTTTACCCTCACAGACCTCGTTTTGTGCATGTGTATATGTGTGCCTGTAAGTGTAATTTTTATGTAGTTGGATCACACTTTCTACCTAGTTCTGTGCAGTCCTGCGTGGCCCATCACTCCTTAGAAGTAAATTCTTGCAGTATTTCTCTTCGTGTATAAGCAAGAACCATTGTACAAGCTAATTATCTTCCCCTTCTCTACACAAAATGTACATTCTATTCATTGTTTTGTACTTTGCTTTTTTCTCTGAAAAATCTACCCTGGGGCTCTATCCAGATCAAGTACATACAGATGTGTTGCATTCTTTCCAACAGCTGCATGGTATTCCATTACAGGCGTGTCCCATGTTTACAACATAGCACCCCCATCACTTTTTCTTCATACCACTCATCACCTGATGTATCTTAGGTATTTATTTTCTGTCCTCGCCCTCAACTAAAATATCAAGTTCCAGAAAGGCAGGAATTTGGTGTATATTGCTGAATTCCCCATTGACTAGAATAGTGTTGGGAATATGCCTTCAAGCATTATCCTTTCCTTAGTAATGTAATTTATTTTTTGTAGAAAACCTCTCTGATTGAGAACTGGAGGTCTTAGGGGAAAGGGCATTTTCAAGGTCACACAAGCGGAGAAGCTGGGACTTGTATTTGTTTGCTGAGAGTGTCATGGACCTTTGCCTGTTCCCATGGTCTTATCAAATTAAATTGATCAGAGTTGAATTCGTACCCATCTCACCAATGAAAGGGTGCCTCCTCCGGGTGGCAGTTTCTCCAGATGTCCAGGTCCTGACCCAGGGCCCACACACACAGCCCAGGGAGTTAGTTGTTTGCATTTAACATCTCATTTTAGGAGAAACTCCTTTTTATTTATTTAGGGAGAATGATTTGGTTTTGCCTGAAAGGCTTTGAGAATCCTGTGCAGTTTACATATTGAGTTTGTACATAGCAGTTCAGGGGACCTGGGGGCTTAAAGGAGAAATTGGCAAACTTTTTCTGTAAAGAGCCAAAAAAAAAAAAAAAAGTAAGTAAATATCATCGGCTCTGTCACCATCGGCCACAATCACTCATCCCTGTCATCGTCGCACAAAAACAGCCATAAACAATACATAAACCAATGAGTGTGGCTGTGTTTCAATCAAACTAGATTAATGCTCACTGAAATTTGAATTTAATGTAATTTTCGTGTATCACAGAATATTAGTC